GAGGACCATGCCCCATCTCACCACCCACACTCCCAGACCTGGATCCAGGTGGCAAAGGAGGGTACAGACCCCCACCACCAATCTTCCGTGCCCTCCCATGTTTCCTTTCATACCTCCTCACTGCTTCCCCATCCACTCCCCTCTTCAGGCCCCAGCACCCTACCCAGTGGTCGGGTGTCACCAGTGAAAGTGGGACCACCACCCCCTGTTTCTGTGAGCCTCCCCCAGACACTCCCAGGGCACTCACCCCCATCAAGGGCGGCAGCAGCAGCAGCTTGTGGTTGTGCTGCAGCAGGCTCTGGCTCCACTGGGTCAATTACAAGGTATTCTTGTTGAAATTTTGTGTTCTGGAACTTATTTTTTTAGGACTCCGGCACTGATGCAGTCATAGCCTAGGATGAAACTCTTTCAGTTCCTATGGTACCTCAGGGGGATGTTAAACAGCAACTACAAAAGTTAGACATTTTTAAATCCGTTGGTATGGATAACTTGCAGCCAAGAGTTTTGAAAGAGTTGTCCGAGGAAGTTCCAGCACTGTGAAAGAAAGCTAATGTTGTGCTAATATTTTAAAAAAGGTAAATGGGCCAACCTCGGTAATGATAGGTCTGGCAGCCTGACATCAACCCTAAGCAAAATAATGGGATAACTGACATAGAACATGATTGTATCAAGAACTAAAGGAGGATAATATAATTAATGCCAATCAATGTGGGTTTCTGGAAAATAGGTCCAGTCACACGAGCTTGATTTTTTTTAAATGAGATGAGAAGGTTGATTGATAAAGTAATCGTGTTGCTGTCATGTACTTAGACTTTGGTAAGGTCTTTGACTTGGTACCACACAACATTTGGATTAAAAAAAAATCACCCTAAAACCAGACTGATTGCCCTCTAAATCCGTTGGAACCAATCTCCTTAGCGTATGCATGACATGCCTCAGGTGGACGTGACCTGAATTTCACTGAATTTGGGCTGCTGGTGGATCATTCCCTTCCCCGGCTTGGGTTGCACAATGTGATAAACAGGGACTCACCTTCAAGTGGGTGCGTTTCTAGTGGGATCCTTCAGGGACTGGTTCTTGGCCTACGCTATTGACCATGTTCATCGATAACCTGGCAGAAAACAAAGTCATCACTGGTACAGGTTGTAGATCACACAAAATGAGCAGAGTGGTAAACAATAAAAAGGACAGGTCACCGATACAGAGTAGCCCGGACCCTTTGGCAAACTGGGCGCAAGCGAATGAGATGCATTTTAACACAGGTAAATGGAAATGTATCCATCTAGGAACAAAGAACGTTGACCCCACCTACGGGTTGGGGGACTCGATCCTGTGAAGCAGCGATAGTGAGAAGGACTTGGGGGGAGGAAGTGGCTAATCAGCTCCCAGTGTGACAACATAGCCAAAAGAGCTATTCGGATCCTGGGATGTATGACCGGGGAATCAATTAACAAAACAGCAGAAGGCCAGTTTTATGAGAACAGTGCCAGACAAATTCACCAAAAAAGATGGACACTTCACACAGGCCTAATGTGGTGTCCATCTTTAAAAAGGGGGAGCTGGGGAACTATAGACCAACTATAGTCTAGAGAAGAGCAACAAAACTGATCCAAGGGCTAGAAAACATCGACCTATGAGGAAAGATTGAAAAAATTGGGTTTGTTTAATGAGGAGGAGAAAAGACTGAGAGGGAACAACAGTTTTCAAGTACATAAATGGTTGTTACAAGGAGGAGGGTGAAGACCTGTTCTTAATCGCTGAGGATAGGATAAGAAGCAATGGGTTTACATTGCAGCAAGGGAGGTTTAGGTTGGACATTAGGAAAAACTTCCCAACTGTCAGGGTTGTTAAATTATTTTCTTTGGCCACAGAGAGTAGGACAAGAGGCAATGGGTTCAAACTACAGCATCGCAGATTTAGATTAAACCTCAGGGAAAACTTCCTAACTAAGATCAGTAGGACAGTGGAACAGACACCGAGGGAGGTTGTGGAAGAGCCTTCACTGGAGGTTTTTCAATGGCAGCTGGAGCCAGCTGTCTGGGATGGCGTAGACCTAACAAAGCTTGCATCTTGTCCGGGGGTTAGACTAGCTGACCCTTGCGGTCCCTGCTAACCCTGTGGCTCTATGAAAACAATACAATAGAGATACTGGAATAATTGAGATACTTTGGTATGGACACCAGCCCTATGCTTATAGGCCTGTCAAGACACATAGAGATAGATTTACACATCCCTTCCCCTTTAGTTTGCCTTTCTTTCTAGTCACCTGAGCCTGACACTTGTGGGCTCCCCCAGACGAGTAAGGGGTTCTGTCACCACCTCCCCTATAACTGGGGGCCCTTTAATGCTTCTGCGGCTCAGAGCTTTGACAGCAGTAGCCAGCCCACAAGCATAAAAGGGTTCTCCTGACATCACAGGTCCCCTGCCGCCCCGACAGGCCAGCGTAGGGTGGCCAGTTCTGGTTGGACGGATTCCTGGAGGTTTCATCACATGACAATCTTTAATTCCTGGAGCCTGCGGACCAGTACTGGAGAGGTGGGAGCACCAGCTGTGTCGATGGGAGAAGCCTGCCCTTCGACAGTGCTGTCTGCACGGGCGTGAGTGATGCAGTCGCACCGACACCAGGGCCTGGAGACAGCAGCTGTGAATTCCTCTGCTCCCACGCTACCCCCTGCAACCGCTCTCACTCCGCTGCTCAGCTGCAGGTGAGGCGTGAAGCCAACAGCAGGGTTCTCCCGCCAGCTCCCAAACAGCAGCAACGACTGAGCCTTGCGGCTTCTACTTGCCACTAACTAGGTGGCCGGAATCTCTTAGGATCTCTGCCCACAGGCGTGAAGTGTGGCAGCTCTCACCTCAGCGCTCTTAGTGAGAGAGGAATCAGCAGCTACTTCAAAACCCACCCGAGCGCCCACCGCCCAGAGGAGCAGCCCCAAGAACGTTCTAGCAGTGGGGAGTCTCTCCCCAAGTCCTTTGCATCAGTCCAGGGCCTCTCCCCACCTCGGCAAACATCAGTGTGGCCCTGGCTGACCCCATGCTGGGCCGTTGTGCGGGCGGCTCCCAACAGGTCCATCTCAGAGACATGGGCCCCACATACAAACCTTGGGTAGATTATGTCCTCAAACAACCTGCAGGTCAAATGCGATGAGGTGCAGCCCGTTGCTCACTCAGTTACCTCTCTTCTCTCCTGGCTTCTGGACCATGACTGGTGCGCACCCCTTTTCTTTGCACCTTCGCTGAACTCCTGGGGCTTGTCTATACTTGGCCCTACAGCGTAGACACGCCCTGCGCCGATGGGACTGGCACTCCTGTCCGCATAGGATACCCACTGCCCCAGAGGCAGGAGCTAAGCAGCTAGCGCTGTCTCCACAGGGACTTGGGACAACACTGGATTTTCCACACCCGACCGATGGACTTCCTAGTGCAGATGAGGCCTTTGCGGAAAGATTTCTAGAAAGACCAATATCAGGCCTTGCGCTCAGCAGAGCTATTGTGTGTACAAGCCCAGGCAGGTGTTAGTAGCTGCCAGTCAGCGGGGGGAAGACTGCGAGCATGCGTATCGCACATACCAGCCAATCTCCTAGGCCTGGTTTGCACTGGGAACTTACATCAGTGCAGCTACGGTGTGAAAAACCCGAGAGATGCAGCAACACCGACCCACCCCTGGTGTAAACAGCACTAAGTAGACGGAAGAATTCTTCCATCACCCTGGCTACAGCCTCTCGGGGAGGTGGATTCCCAATGCCGATGGGAAACCTCCCCACCGGTAGCGTCTACGCGGAGGCTGCACTCATAGGGTGTTTGAAGTGTGGACATCCCCTTCATAACGAAACCCGTACTCCACACGGCAAACGGACAGTGGCATTCGAAATCCCTCTGAAACCTGTCTCAGATACAAGCTCTCGGGCGGCGTTCCCCGTGCAGCCTGCCCCACTTCAGTGTTGGGACGTCGATTCCAGTGGATGGGGGGCAACAGAACATTGCAGGCTGGAGTCACAAGGGGCACTTCCAGCATTTACTCCCCCCTGGCATTAACAAAACCCCCACTCAGCTGCCCCCAACCCTGCAGCCACCTACGTTCCCCCGTGAAGCGTTCGCAAAATAGGGGGGGGTGTCATATTTTTAACTAAAAAATGGAGATTTTTTTGTAATTAAATATTTTTTTAAATAAAAATATAAAATTAATTGTGAAATTAGCCTCGCCTTCATTAAGGTCACCCCAATTCCTTCTCCCTCCCTCAGGGGACCACCCTACAACCCTACGGGACAGACCACGCCAGAGTGACCCCGCAGCATGGACAGAGACTGCACTGATGGAAGTGGGCTTTCCAGCAGTATAGAAACAGACACCAGGGGGTCCAGCCCCCAGCACAACCCTCTGTCTCTGCCCTCCAGCCAGTGCACCCTCGTCCTCTTCCTTTATAGGAGCCAAACCACCAAGCCTGCACCTCCCCAGCTGCTGCTCATCCTTAATTAGCTGCCTTCTACCCCTCTCCAGGATGGGCTCATTGGGCCACTCAGCTGCCTGCTAACCCTTCACCTGCCAGCATGGGGCACATGTCCGGGGGGGCTGTAGGGGTGAATTCTGGGAGACGCTGTTTGTGGGTCTTTGGGAGGGTCCCATCTCCCATGTTGGGTGGAAGGATGATCCCAGGGAGGGCTGCGTAGGGGGCAGCAGGGCTCATAAACCAAAGGGAACAGAAAGTTCCTGGGAGGGAGGCTGTATATGGGGGGTCCCGGGAGAAGGTTGATCCCAGAGGGGTATCCTGGGGAGGTTCCTGGCTGTGGGAGGATCCCAGCAGGCTGTGCTGGGGGAGCTTCCAGTGGGGGCTACTCCAAGGGGTGGATCCCAGCAGGGGGAGGGGAGAGTCTTTTTCCTGTTTATATTCAGACAGAGGCGGGGGGTTCCACAGCACCATTTATTGCAGTTTATCACAACATAGGTGAGGTCTATACAGAGCCCCCTGCACAGAGTCCCGCAGCCCCCCCAGCAGCATTGTGCCCCCAAACCCCCCTCCCCCAGGCTCTTCTAGCCTCAGAGCTGAAACCAGTCCAAGGTGCTGGCCAGATGCAGGGACCGTCTCTGTGATCCCCCAGCTCTGTCCCCCCCGACCAGGACAGTCCAGCTGACGCCTGGCCTGCACCCCCAGCAGCACCGGCTCCAGCATCTTCAAGGCAGTGGAGGCTGAGGGGATGTCGTCCCAGCCTCTTGTCCCACCCCTGGCTCCCCAGGGGTGCCAGAGGGCAGGTGCTATCGGGGTACCGGTGGCCCAAACATCTCCATGGTCTGTATCACCAGGGAGAGATGGTCCAGGAAGGAGCTGATGGAAACACGCAGGATCCGGGCCTCGTCTGCTTTCCAGCACCTGGTAGGAGGATATGGGGTGAGGGGAAGGGGAGGGGAGTCCCCCTAAACCCAGCTTAGACAGTACCCCTCATGACCCACAGCCCCTGATAGCCCAGCCCTGGGCTCCCCCCCCAGCCCTGCCAGTGCCCCTCACTCCTGACCTGCAGCCCCTGCTAGCCCGGCCCTGACCGCCCCCAGCTCTGCTGGTGCCACTCACTCCCGACTTGCAGCCCCTAATGAGGGTTGGTCTCCATGGGGGGACTCACTCACACGTGTAGGAAGTTCTCGGTCACAGTCAGTTCTTTGCTGATCCCCCCCTTGCGGGGCTCAGGGTCAGGGGCCAGGGAGCCATGAGCGATTTGGGCCTCCAGGGGGGATGGAAATGGGACACTCAAGGTGCTGGGAGGGGAGGGGGAGGTTAAGGAAAAAGGGAGTGGGGAAAAAACTGGGGGGGGGCAGGTGCGAGACACGGCCAGTCCCCTGGGGCATGGAGGAGACCCTCCCGCATCCTCCTCCCCCAGAGACCCTGCAGGCCCCTGATCTCCCCAAAGCCTCCTCACCCCCCCAAATCCTCCCAGCCCCTTCTGCGTCCCCACACCCACCCACGGCCCCCTTGCCCCCCCCCCAAATCCTCCCAGTCCCTTTTGTGCCCCCAGACCCGCCCACGGCCCCCTAGCTCCCCCAAATCCTCCCAGCACCTTCTGCGCCCCCAGACCTGCCCACGGCCTCCTCGCCCCCCCAAATCCTCCCAGCGCCTTCTGCGCCCCCAGACCCGCCCACGGCCCCCTCGCCCCCCCAAATCCTCCCAGCGCCTTCTGCGCCCCCAGACCCGCCCACGGCCCCCTCGCCCCCCCAAATCCTCCCAGCGCCTTCTGCGCCCCCAGACCCCGCCCACGGCCCCCTCGCCCCCCCAAATCCTCCCAGCGCCTTCTGCGCCCGCCCACGGCCCCCGGATACAAGCCCAGCCCGGCCCGAGCTGCTCCAGCTTCTTCCATGCCGGCCACGGCTCCGCCCCACGTGCCGCCAGGGGGCGGGGTTTGGCGGCCAGGCCCCGCCCTTGCACACGTCAATCCCGCCCCCCCCACCCGGAACTCGCCCTCCCTGAGACCCGCCTGCAGGGACCCCCAGTTGAGCCCCCCCAGCATCACCCCCCTCTCATGCGGGGCCCCAGGCATCCACTGCGGGCAGGACCCCAGAGCCCCCCAACCTCCCCCACCTGGCAGGGGGCAGAGACCTCTCCTTTTGTGCAGGGGCCACTGCCCCAGAACCTCCTCTGGGACACAGGTGACCCCCCCAAGAGGGGAAATCCAGCCCCCCCAGCCAGTCACACCCCAATCCCAGGGGCCTTCAGCAGCACCCCCACCTTCCCCAGTCAGAGTCCCCTCCCACATCCCAGCCCTATTCGCCATGTTCCCATCCCTGCCCTCAAGGTCTGCAGGGCAAATTTACCTCCAGCATCAATCAGCCTGGCTGAAAAACAGCTTCTTCCTTTTTCACCCTCAGCAGGGGGGTGCTATGGGGGGGGGGGGGCGAAGACTTAGAGGACACAGTTGGTCATCAGGTGAGGGGTCCCCACATAACCAGCCCCATGCCCCACACAAGAGGGACCATGTCCAGATGCTAGGCAAAGGGTCCCTGAGTAACTGGCCCCTGCCCAGGCCCAGAAGGGCCATGTTTCAGCACCCCGCAAGGGATACCCAGATAATTGCCCCCCCCCCCAGAGGTGGCCCCAGAGAACCATCCCCCTGGCCCACCCTAGAGGTGGCTTCATCCTGGGTCTGTGTATAACCAGCCCCCTGCCCCACCCCAGTTAACACATCAGGCAGAGCTGGGCAGGTCTCACACCCACCATCATCTTTAATGGGGAATGGGAGAGACAGACAGGCTCCTTAGCAGCAGTTCAGAGGTGTGAGGAGGGGGCAGAGGGACCCCAAGCCCCCTACTGGGCCCTGCCTGCAGGCTCCTTGTTTCAGGTGCAGGGAGGGCCGGGCTGAAGTCTTCCCCCCGGGCCCACGGCTGTCTGGGCACTAGTCCAGGAATCCCATCTCCACCGCATCAGCCACCTCCGGGTGCAGCAGCCGCGTGGCCAGCCGCTCAATGTCGTCCAGGCTCAGCAGCCGAAGGCTCCGCTCGTAATCCTGGAGGGAGAGGGGGGGTTAGCACGGCGACCCCCAGGGTGTAGGGGAAGGGGGGGCGCTGGGATCCCTGTAGCCCCCTGCCCCACCATCAGTGCTGGGTCCCTCGATAACCAGCCCCACCCCAGAGGTGCCGCGTCCTGGTGCCAGGTGGGTTTCAAGGATGCAATGATCCATCCAGGAATCCCCCCAGCCTACAGCTTCCTCCGCGCCAGGGCTCTAGGCATCACCTTCTGCAGCTGCTCCAGCACCTTCTCCGCATCAGCCGTGCTGAAGTGCCGCGCCAGGACCTGGCCCAGCGGGTGCCAGATGGTCAGGAATGGTGGCGGGGGTCCCCTGTGCCCCGGCTCCTCGGGGGAAGCCTTCTCCGGCGGCTTGATTACCAGGTTCAGCTTGGACTCGGGGCCGATGGAATAGTCCGAGAGCCGGTGCTCATCTGTGGGGGTGGCAGAGGGACCATGAGCTCCCGTTCCCCCCAGCTCACAGGGACCCCCGGGACTGTGAGACCCCAAGATAAAAGCACCCCCTACACCACTGAAAAACAGAAGTTATAGAGCATTACAACTCTTACCCCACCCCAGAGGGGCTGCGTCTCAGAGCTGGGTGAAGGGTCCCTGGATAACCAGCCCCTGCACCCTGCCACAGGTGGGGGGCGGGCATGTCTCAGCACTGGACGAGGGGTACCGGTATAAACACCCCCTGCCCCACCACAGAGGGGCCGTGTCTCAGTACCGGGCGAGACTCAGTACGCGAGTCTCCGTGTAACCAACTACCTGCATCTTCAAACACAACAAGGAGTCCGGTGGCTCCTTGAAGACTAACAGATTTATTTGGGCATAAGCTTTCGTGGGTAAAAATAAGTGTTTTTTTTACCCACGAAAGCTTATGCCCAAATAAATCTGTTAGTCTTTAAGGTGCCACTGGACTCCCCGTTGTTTTTGTGGATACAGAGTAACACGGCTACCCCTCTAATACTTGGCTCCCTGCGTCTTGGCACCAGGCAAGGAGTCCCCATATAAACACCCCCTGCCCCACCCAAGAGGCAGCCACACCGAATGAGATTAGATGAAGCGGGTGGGCGATGAAATGGCTGGTGTTAGTAATGATATGTGTTGTCATGACATTTCAGGGTAACAAGACATATGGGGAGCAGTCGTGCCCCTCTGAGGGCTGCCTGTCTGCAGACTCGTGTGCCCCGGGAGCAGGCACCCACCTGCCAGGGCCTTGCCCTTGAAAAGCAGCCGCTGCTGAGAGACTGGGACGTTCAACTTCTCCGAGACCAGGCGCTTCAGGGTGCTGACACGCTCATCCGGGGAGACCTGGGGAAAATGGTGGGGGGGAAAGGCTGGAGTGGGGAGCTACACCCCACCCCAGGACTGACAAACCACACCAGTGCCCCCCATCCATCCCCCAGGAACCTCCCCCACAAACCCTCCCCATCTCACACCCCTGGCACCTGCCAGGAACCTGCCTCACCCCTCACCCCCACCGGTGCCCCCCATCCACCCTCCCCGGATCTTCCCTATCTCCACACCCCCGCCTCTCCCACCTGCTCCACCAGGGTGGAGATGCAGGCACAGGGCCCCCCATAAACACCCCCCCAGCCAGCCCCCCACCGGGCACAGCCCTCTCCAGCCAGCCCCCCCCGCACCCCTCCAGGCACAGCCCTCCCCCCCAGCCAGCCCTCCCCCACCCTGGGCACAGCCCCCCCTGCGCACCCCTCCAGGCACAGCCCCCCCCACCCAGCCAGCCCTCCCCCACCCTGGGCACAGCCCCCCCTGCGCACCCCTCCAGGCACAGCCCCCCCCACCCAGCC